GCGGGAAGCCACTTAGCACGCAAGGGGTTACCGAGAGTTGGAGCGAGAACAAAGATGAGTTATGGAGGAAAGGATGAAGAGAAGTTTAGGGGATAGATCAGGCCATGTGAAGACGTCGATTGTCATTATATTTGAATAGTGGGAGATTATAGCTATCAGAGAAACAGGAAAAGGGGGTTTCCTCAGGCTAGAGGTGCGTGACATGAAGCTATTGGAGTAGAAGAGACGGCTACATTTAGGAGTTTCGACAGTGAAAGGGTGAGAGCGAGATGCCAACTTAGTTGAACGCTTTAATTCATGAAGTCTGGGAACCAGCGAAAGCAAATCATCGGAGCAGTCACCGTGAACGTATTTGTAAAAAAGACAGAGGGAGGCGACGGCACGTTTGTGATAGAGCGGCTACAGACGAGATCCCAGATCAGGGCCAATTTACATTGCATATCCGCCTTTGGATTTTATCAAGGACTTTGAGACAAACAGAAGAGGCTCCAAACCATATATGGCAGCAGTACTCCATGCAAAGGTGAATGGTTGATTTGTAGATTTGAAGGATTGACTCCGGTGATAAAATTTTTCCTGGCGCCGCACAAGGAGTCGACTTTCCTAGCGTTGGACGAAGCTATTGACTCAATGTATTTGTTCCATCTCAGGCCAGCAGACAATGTGAGACCGAGCAGTCGCAAAGAGGTGCTCTCGTGGAGTTGAGCGTCAGACATTCTAATGGGAGGCAGGGATGGTTCTCTCTGTTGAGCAATAGAGAGCAGTCTTGTTTTTGAGGCATTAAAGTTAACCAGCCAATTCCTGACAACAGTCCACAACCGATTGAAGGTCCTTATCATGACAAACAGCCTGGTTAGTTTTGTCGGCGACACTAGATTTGTTTTTGAGGCAGGAGTAAATTGTAGTGTCATCCGCATAGATGCCTACTTGGGAATCTATGAGATAAGGAAGATTGTTGATGAAGATAAGGAACAGAGTAGGGCCTAGGATAGAGTCTTGGGGAACATGTGCGTTCGTGGGATAAGAGTTGGAGGAGAATCCGTTGAGAACGACCTTCAAGGCACGGTTTGACAGGAATGATTCTATTAAGTCAAGCAATCGACCTGAAATTCCATAACACTGAAGCTTGCAAAGGAGGCCGGCATGCTAAACCCTGTCAAACGCATTGGAGATATCTAGAGCCACGACACGAGCTTTTCTGTTATTATGAAGTCAAACCTAATATATGATAATGAATTCTATGCCATCTCTTCACTGATGAGGCCAATAGGAGTGTGACAACGAGTATATGGTAAGAGAAATGTGGTCATACAGAAGGATGCTGGAAATAACTGAAAATTTGAGTAAGGGTAATATTTTAAAGAAACAGAAACAAAAACGAGTCTTATTCTTAAAAAGAGAGAGAGAGAGAGAGAGGCAGTTGAAATATCTTAGTGATATAATGAGGAAAGAGACGTCATCGAATTTGAAACTCACATGGCATATTGAATGAAAATGTGTGCTGACGGAAAGAACCATTAACCTACATAACAAGCGTGTGTAAATGATTTGCAGAACAAGGGCTGGGGCGATAGTGAAAAGACAAAATTTACTAAGGGTTATAAAGAATAGGAGGCAATGGAGAGACATGATCATTTACATCCTGAAGGGAACAGAATAGGAAGGTGAAGATGTGCAATTGTTGAATTTGTTTGAAATGTTTTCTTCCGATGTCAACCTTTTGTAGATTTATTGTTCGTGTGTTTTTATTAGTTTTTTGAAAATCCTTCCGTCGCCATTTTTGTTTTCGTCTATTTTGTTTTGACACTGTTTTTTTTTTTTTTTTTTATGAAATTAAGTGATAAATTTAAAGAACATCTTTGGCAACCAGCGGAAAGGATCGAGTAACTCTTTATTATCGCGTTGCCGAGAATAGTCGAGATCAATTACTTCCGTTGTAGCCTTATTCATTAGAAGAAGAAGAAGAAGGAGGAGGAAGAAAAGGAAGAAAAAAGAAGAGAAAAGGAAAATAGGAAGAGGAAAAGAAGAAGAAAAAGAAGGAGGAGGAGAATGAGGTTTATAGCGATAATGTCGGTGCAAAAGAAAGAATTAAATAATAAAAAAAACAACATTAAAAGAAAGTACGACCATAAGCTCCATAGTAACGAAATCAAAATTCTAAATAAAATTGTGGTTACAATAAAATTATGGCGAATTAATTTTTTTTAAAAAAGCTGTCTTCAGATATAGTCAGATTTTTCCACTTTCTTTTTGAAACTTTGAAATATCAAAAGACATGTGAAAATATTGCCTGCCTGTAACTGCGGACAGCTTGTATGGAATGGTTTGAAGATAATTCTAATCAATTTCCTTGGTTACTTATTAAATTTGAATGTATTTTTATTTTTAAGAAAAAAATCAAATTAATATTTTGTGTTTTGTCAAAATCATCAACGTAAATTGAATAAAACGATAACAATATACTCCAACAGGTGCAGATGGCCTTGAACTAACAAAGTCTGGTTATCATTTTGAGTTTCAGATACGAAGTGACAGAATTACTATCGCCGTGCTTCCATTTTACAGATTTTCACTCTAACACACTTTCGCCGGTGACAAGATATTTTACCTGAAAATAAAAGAAAGGAATGTTGTTTATTTTATTTCTTTCTTTCTTTTTTATCGCGTCGATAGAATTATCCCGAATATGGTTACGCGACAACTTCCTTCCGGCTCCATGCTTTCTAGCCAACTTTAATCTGCAAAAGTTTAAATTCAATGTCAATCGCTATCTACTGTCCATCTGATTACTGTCTTCTCTTTCTGCTCATTATTATTGTATCTCTTCCTCATTCTTCCACACTCTGTAACCCAATGTGTTTTAGTGACATTGCTGTATCGCTTGGGGTGATTCCAATTAAAAAAATAAGTTCTAAAAACCAAGATGACCAGAGCCTGACAGCCGATCTCTAACCTGATTTTGTTCTAACAGCTCTATGTTTGAAAATCTGGTTTGTAATTTCACCTCAAAAACATTAGTAATTTTTCACTCTCAATGCGCTGACCTTAAATTCTAATCTGTCACGATGAGTGTTTGTACTCTTAATGAAGTTCCTTTTTTGAGCGTCTTTTGCGACCCAAGGTTACACCAGATCTGAAGCAGAACAAATAAACCAAGCAGCGCTAAAGACATAGGGAAATTATCGGCATTTTATATCATTCCAGAAATTATTTGACGCCATATGACATACTCTGTCTTTACAAGGGTCAGATTAGTGGAAAAATGGAGTATTGCTCCCATATCAATATTTTCCAGCCTCATGTTTAAACGCCTTCACGTCGCCTTGAAGGCGATGAGTTATTTTATACCATACTCTTCCTCTCTCACTGACACAACATCACAAACTTCTCGATCGTGAACCACCATTTCCATGGCAAATGAATTCCCTTAGTTCCACCATTTCTGCCACTTATAGATAAGACCCACCATGCCATATGCACAAAAACGAACTTGTGGAGGGCAGTATTGATACCCTGCCGCTAACAGAATTTGAATGTCGATGGGCCGCAATAAACAATATGAAGACTTTATTAGAGAATGAATGACCAATGTTTACTGAGGCAAGTAGGTACAAAGATGCGGAGGTGTACGGAATGGTCGACAACAAATCAGCCGGAAGATGAATGAGGCTGACAGGATCTCCTTTTCTTTGGGACGGCTACCAAACACGTCCGAACTCAATGGTTCGGAAATGAGACGAGAACGATCATCTACTTTCCGGAAGTAGGGTCATAAAATTCACATGTGACCGGAAACATTTTGGTTTCCATTTGCATTATGGAAAAATGAAATTCTTTATGCATTATTATTTTATTTTCATTCCCCATAAACTATCCTCATTGCTTTTTATTTGACGCTGATAAGAAGCTCTTACCTAAAAGCCCCTAGAGTGTACTTTGCCAAACAAAACAATTTTAAATTTATCAAGTCTAAGATCAAACGTTATGTATCCTACATGTCCCCATTATCTGCGCTTACCTCCCTGTAGTAAATTAAATTGGTAACCGTCTACCTTGAATGGCTCTCGGGCCTTGTATAGGGTAAATATTTAGTAAAAATACGTCTTTCCCTCTTTCCGGTTTTTCTCTTCCTCGCCTTTTACCCCATAACTAAGTCCTAGTCAATACGTTCAGCAACACGTGATTGGATCTTCTCGTGAGAAGCTCTCGTTCTCTGACACAGATCATGTTTTATTAATGTAACAGAAATACTGTTAATTACACAATTTATATTCAATATTTTGTCCTCATCGTTGTTGATTTTGTCGCAACTATTCGGCCGTTGTACCCTCCGCACATTACCAGTTATATATTAGTGTATTATATATTAGTTTGTGTAGTAACCTACAGGAAATTCTGAACCAAACCCTTTATTTAATCTACGGGGATAGACTGTTCATGTTTTACTGCTCATGTCTAAGGATATCGTTTAGTTTATTTTTATTTAATACTGTTCATTTATTGACACAGGTTTTGTACTCACATGTTGCCAAATTAAAAAAAAAACGATGGTTTTATTCAATATGTTGTGGTGAACTTTAAGTCTAACCTGGTTGCTGATTAAATTTAAACTATTGCTGTTGCTGTCTGCCATGTTTTGATTGCAGTTGCTGACGCCCATGTTTTGATTGCTGCTGCTGCTGATGATACCCATGTTTTAATTGCTGCTGCTGATGATGCCCATGTTTTGACTACTGCTGCTGATGCCCATGTTTTGATTGAAGCTGCTGATGCCAAATGTTTAGACTGCTGCTGCTGATGCCCATGTTTTAATTGCAGCTACTGATGTCTATGTTTTGACTGCTTCTGATGATGATGCATCTGCTGTCGAAGGCTTGCTGTCATTTTTTTTTCTTTCTTCCGTTTTTTTGGTTTTTTCATCTTTAATACACTATGGAAATTCATGTTTTCAAAAGTCAACATAACATCTTTATCGTATATCCGTTATAAAAAAGTCGTCCATGCTTTATTCGTCGCTTTACTGTCCAATGCTGACAGACAACGGATCGAAACTCTGTATTTATTGCGAGCCTTATTTATCCGATGTAATCATTAAATCGATTTCTTTCCACTAACTCCTTAAACGTTGCTATGAAGACATTGCGATGGCCATAAATTTGTTTACTAAATTTATTTGTGACGGATTTTTATTCCTGACCACTTTGCAAACCTTAGAATCATTTGTTTTGAACGCGCAGTTTGAGTAACGTTCAACGATGGCGTAAGTAGATACACCGAACAGAGTTCAAATTCCGGCCGAGCATTTAATTTCGCACTATAACACTTGGTAAAGTGATGGGCCCATAACTTTACCATATAGACAGTGAATCAATAATAAGGTAGACCGATGGCAGAAGGTAAATTGTAAACTCATCACCTGGAAAAAAACGGGATTTCTTCCCAACAAATCATATCAATTAACACTGTTTAAAGAAGCTGTAGAGAGCCATGAACACCTAGATCTTGAATGTAAATAGTAATAAAAAAAGAAAATTTTTTTTTCGTGTCGAAACTTGATTTTTTTCTTCTCTTTTGTTGTTTGTTTCCTACTTTTTTTTGTTTTTATATTATCATTTTTATTCTAAATTTGTGTTTATCTGATACTGTTTCTTCCACGTCCTGGGTAAGACAATAAACTACGTCCAGCAGCAAGGCCTCTGATAAAGAGGTTTTGAGGCGCGTGGAACCACCTCTTAATTGTTGTCCCAGGTTCACCCTGACTGCGGGTGGTAGCACCTGTTGGGGTCCCAACTATGGGCGAATAGTTAAATATTACCAGCAATAGCTTTTTGAAAAAAATTATTACCAGCAATACAATTTTGAAGGAAAAATATTACCAGAAACAGATTTTTGACAAAACAAAATATTACCAAATAAAAAAAAATTGTCGGCATTAAATAACCCATTGACCAAAACAAAATAAATCAAACCAATCTAAACCAAAAGATACATATTCTCATTCATACGTTTGTCGGCATTAAATAACCCATTGAGTTTGATATGCTGTAAAACAAAATAAAACCAAACCAATCTAAACCAAAGAATACATATTCTATTCATACAAATCTATCCTAAAAATATTGTCGGCATTAAATAACCCATTGAAATATGCCGTAAAACAAAATAAACCAAATTTCTAAACCAAAGAATACATATTCTATTCATACAAATCTATCCTAAAAATATTGTCGGCATTAAATAACCCATTGAGATTGATATGCCGTAAAACAAAATAAACCAAATCAATCTAAACCAAAGAATACATACTCTATTCATACAAATCTATCCTAAAAAATATTGTCGGCATTAAATAACCCATTGAGATTGATATGCCGTAAAACAAAATAAACCAAATCAATCTAAACCAAAGAATACATACTCTATTCATACAAATCTATCCTAAAAAATATTGTCGGCATTAAATAACCCATTGAGAAATTGATAAAAACAAAATAAACCAAATCAATCTAAACCAAAGAATACATACTCTATTCATACAAATCTATCCTAAAAAATATTGTCGGCATTAAATAACCCATTGAGATTGATATGCCGTAAAACAAAATAAACCAAATCAATCTAAACCAAAAATACATACAACCAAAATACATATTCTATTCATACAAATCTATCCTAAAAATATTGTCGGCATTAAATAACCCATTGAGATTGATATGCCGTAAAACAAAATAAACCAAATCAATCTAAACCAAAGAATACATATTCTATTCATACAAATCTATCCTAAAAAATATTGTCGGCATTAAATAACCCATTGAGGTTGATATGCCGTAAAACAAAATAAACCAAATCAATCTAAACCAAAGAATACATATTCTATTCATACGAATCTATCCTAAAAATGTTTTCGACATTAAATAACCCATTGAGATTGATATGCCGTAAAACAAAATAAACCAAACCAATCTAAACCAAAGAATACATACTCTATTCATAAAATCTATCCTAAAAAATATTGTCGGCATTAAATAACCCATTGAGATTGATATGCCGTAAAACAAAAAAAAACCAAATCAATCTAAACCAAAGAATACATATTCTATTCATAAAACAAATCTATCCTAAAAAATGTTGTCGGCATTAAATAACCCATTGAGATTGATATGCCGTAAAACAAAAAAATAAACCAAATCAATCTAAACCAAAGAATACATATTCTATTCATACAAATCTATCCTAAAAATATTGTCGGCATTAAATAACCCATTGAGATTGATATGCCGTAAAACAAAATAAACCAAATCAATCTAAACCAAAGAATACATATTCTATTCATACAAATCTATCCTAAAAATATTGTCGGCATTAAATAACCCATTGAGATTGATATGCCGTTAAACAAAATAAACCAAATCAATCTAAACCAAAGAATACATACTCTATTCATACAAATCTATCCTAAAAAATGTTTCTTCTTCCCATTCAAAATTAAACCAAACCATACCATTTCTTCTTCTTCTTCTTCTTCTTCTTCTTCTTCTTCTTCTTCTTCTCATTTCTGGGATGAGGAGTTATCATTTTTTTACGCTAAATTCCTCTTATTATTATCACAACGTTCCGGCACTTGTGTCTTCCGCCCTTCATCAGGTGTATATCAAGATGAGTAAACTATTTCGAATTCATTTATGGAATGTGGAGTTATCATTATTTACACTATTTATACTTGGACTACTGTCGTCATCATTGTTCTTGGTCTTATAACTTTTCGGCCTTTTGTGCGCTACGGTCTTCCTTGGATGTATAACGATCTTGGTAACCTACAGGAAATTATGAACTGAAACATTTATTTAATCACTAGGAATAGTTCCTGTTCCACTACCAATGTCTAGAGATATATTTCCTAGTTCTTATGTTTAGTACAATTCAGTTACTGTTCGCCCGTTTCCAATTTTTTCAAGTTAGACACTGGGCGACGCAGGGATTGAACTCGCAATCACTTTGTCACCAAATTCCCAAATCCACGCTTTAATCCACTAGGCACTTCTTTTTATTTTTTTTTGTTTTTTTGTTTTTCATCTTCCTTTTCCTTCTCTTTCTTCTTCGTCTGTATATTCTTCATATTTTTCTATTTTATCTGGCTTTCATTTCTTCCATGTCTTTTTTGTTTATGTCTTGTCTTCTTTAGAATTATTCTTTTGATTTTTTTCAGTTTCCTTGAGATTTTTTATTCATTCTTTTGTTCATTTTATTCTCCCCCTTCGCCTACTTTCCTTCGTCATTTTTCTTTCATCTTATTTTTCATTCGGGCGTTCTCTTTGCTTTCATTCATTTTTCAATCATTTTATCTCAACGTTATTCCTTCATTCCTTCATCATCATCATCATAATCATCATCATCTTCTTCTTCTACTTCTTCTTCTACAATATAATCATTTTCTTGGACTTCTTCATCATGAGTTACTTTTTATCCTTTTTCATTATTTTCTTCTTTTCCTCTTCCTTTTTTTTTTTAATCTACTTCACCATCAGCATCACTATTTTTTCTTCAGCATCAGCATATTCTATTTCTCCTTATTCTTCATTTGTCTTCTTCATCATCATGATTTTATTTTCTTTTTTCATCATTTTCTTCTTTTTCTTCATCCCTTTTCCGTCTTCTTTTCCGTCTTCTTCTTCTTCTTCTTCTTCTTCTTCTTCTTCTTCTTCTTCTTCTTCTCACTCTCTCTACATCACGTTTAATATCTCTATTTTATTTTTTATTTTCCTTATTTCTCTCCCTTTTCATTTCTTCCCTCTTTTTCAATTGAAAATATTTCCTTTTAAAACTGATTCCTTGTCGTCACTTTTATGCTTGTCGTCGCCATTTTTTGGCTTACGCTTCTACAATAGCTGGCTGCCACGACTAGGCAGGAAGATTCAATTGGCCAGCGTGAGAGCCGACAGCTGTCTGACACGAATGTTAACTAGCATGCAAAAAAAATCGATAGCGGCATTCGTCACAAGTGGGAAAGATTTAAATCTGCATGGCACTTTACTCCAATTGGCTCATTCGCTTGCTTAAACTCAGCGTTGATTCTGATTCCGCGGAACTGGGTTGGGTGTGAAAAAGTATTTGTTGTTAACATTCTTTTTTCAATCGTTTTTTCCAGTTACGAGTCCTGATCGTTTTGTATTCATTTTGTTTAGTTCTTTTTTTTTACCAGATTTAATGTTTAGTATTGAGCTTAGAAAAAGTTCGCAGTGTGAGATAGGCAAGAAGTAAGGCATGTAGCAACATCAGCACGGCAAAGGGCACTCTTTTAAAGGCGAGGAAGGGCAAGAATATTTTAGGTCAAGAGATAGCGATTGCTGTATGAGTCGTACGATTTTTGAATCAAGCACGGGCCACGCCGGGCCTTGCTGCTACTATATATATATATATATATATATATATATATATATATATATATATATTAGATTATTCAAGGTCACAATTATAAATCATATGGTGGGAATTGAAATCATTTCACTGTCAAAATTGATGTAGCTACAAAAATTATCAAACCATAACTTCAGGTATAAATGCCCTCACAAGTTGAGCGTTGCGTAGACCTGGCCGAAACACACAAATATTGAAGGCCCTGTAGACATCCAAGTCACAACTCAGACAAAACCGGTCTCGGATTACAATCTTGTTAACCATTATTCCATCACGTGATTTAAGCTCTTGAAAAATGCTTCGAAATTTTGCTCCAGTACGATATTGTTTTTTTGGTTTTTGTAATGTGTCTTGACGCTCTTAAAACAATGTCAATCAATATTTTATTCGAGTAATGAAGAATAGTTAATAAATAATCTGTATTGAAAATAATCAAATTCAGGCTAGATTCGATCTCGCCTCACATGAAAAACCTTTATCGCCAAACCTGTTTTGTAGATGCACAAAATATGCAACATTTCCGATAGAAATGGATTCAAGTAATAATCTTGCCAGGGGCTTCTTTTTTTTTCATTTAATTCCGATCCTCCTGTTTCCTGAAAATCGTTGAATGATGGTTGAAAGGATGTGAAAAAATATATAACAGTAATTAATAATTAATAATGTTTTGTCTAAGAAATTCAACGAACGATCAGATTATTACGAGGGCTTGTTAAACAGCAGACATTATTTAAATATTTAAATGAATAGTAATAAACAATGTTTTAACTGCAGGAATTTCAGTCTTAATCAGACAATTTTGCATACTTTAAAAGAAATAGAAATAAAAGAAAAAAGTAATAATTATTAATTATGTTTGATGTCGCAAATTCAAACAGGATTTACTAACTGGGATAAAAACAATAGTAATAACTTTAATGAAATACACGTCAAAAATAATGTCAATTGAGAGCGTTTAATCTTACTTCCGGAAAGGTCAAGTCTATTAGTAAAAAGTGAGAACTTGGAAAGGGGAATTAACAGGTGATAACTGATAACTGACATCCATTAGACATGGCACGTGGAACTAGAACCGTCTATCCCAGCGAGCAAAATAAAGAGTTCAGTTCAACATTCCAACCACCTGAGGAAGGCCGGGGCGTACAGCGACCGAAACGTTGTAATAAATATGGCGACAAAGACGAGGAAAATAGTCCGAATAATGTAAAAAGTGAAAAAGCAAGAGAAATATGTTGGAAGAAATACTGTAAAAGTTTAATTACAATATTTCATCAAATATGTTAAGACATCTCTAGATAATTACATCCCTTTCTTTTATGCGTCATGCGCATTCACAAGTTCCTGTTTAGTTGCTCAAAGTAACGTTTGATATTTTTATACTTGTCCTGTCACCTATTTACTCAAATTCCTCAAGTACGTTACTCGCATCACTTTTTAACATTGTTTATGTAAAAAAGAGACTACATTAAAGTTTAGAATTAGGAAGAAAAAAAATCACCTATCTAAAGCAGTCACAATTTTTTGGGGGAAATATATCGTTTTTCTAAAACATGATCTATTTCATAGTTTTAACTTTCACAGATCCTGCAAAAAAAGGAAAAGAACGAAGAATGCGTCAGCGCCTTTTCATTGAATCAGAAAATAACAAAAAAAAAATCGAGATTTCCTGAGAAAAATAGTTGAGTTTCTTCTTCCAAACGTTATAACTGAGAATTTTTGTTAGAAAAATTTTGGATTACCATTGCAAGTCAAACTCAACACAACCTTCCACTCCGTCACTGATAAGTAGACAACAAATCTTTCCTGCCAGGGACAATAAAAGTAAGCAATATAAAGCATATGTATTGTGCTATTTAATTCTACAAATTCCATTCTCCTGGTGAAAAGAAGGCTGATTTGATTTTCAGCAAGAGACATACAAAGTGTGTTTTTGGCGTGACGACAGACATAGAAATTAATATACATACACAAACAAATTCTGAAATCAACGGTGCATTTTTATCCGCGTACTTAATAACATTTGGTGTCATGACGATGTCACAGCTGGTTTTCTTTCGTTCGATATTGCTATGTGATTGCTAAATACTCTAAGTTTTCTTTTGTCACCATGTTCCTTCCCTCACTCTATTTCCATGCGTCAGTTTTCTTGTAACTCTAACGTTAAACATTCTCCTCGTTCTTTTAAGCATTTCGCCACAAGCAAGGAAGGTGTGTCACTAGCACACAGGTGATTTCGCTGAGTAAAAGTGAGAGAAAAGTGTAGAGGGATGTAGAAAGAAAAAAGGACAGGCGTCAAGGCAACAGAAGGTGGCGACTGACGTTGCATTGAAACCTTTAAAGATTGTAGATATCCGGGAAGCAAGTGAGAGAAAGGGAGTTCCAATGTACGAGGAAAAAAAATTGTTGGAGTACAAGTAGTGGTTGCATTTAACTAATTCATTAGTAAATGAGTGGGACCTAGATGACAATCTATTAACACACTCAAATTCATGTTGTCGGGACATCAGGGAAAAAAACTCGTCATAGAAGTAGCTATGAAAATACTTTTTAGAAAAGACAGAGGGAAGCCACATTACGTCTATGAGTGTCTGAAGTCGAGAAGCCAATTCAGGACCGATTACATTAAAGATACTTCTTTGGATTTTGTCGAGAACCTCGAGATTTACCCCAAGGGCACCAGACCATATATGGCAACACTATTCAATGCAAGGACGAATGGTAGATTTATAGATATGTGAGATGGACTCTGACGAGAAATAACTTCTGGCACGACACAATAAACTGGCTTTCTTTGCAAAAGTTCATATGTTCTGTCTATGGTCATCTCAGCTGTCTTTATTTGTGAACAAATTGCCTACCATCCATCGCAATATAAGTGATTGCATATTATATAGCTTTTAAAGTTTCTAACAGCATTTTCCGATTGCCTAGTAGTTTACTTCGCTTCAGGAAGGCATTATTTGTCATTCCTGTGTACCTTCGGATTTTTGTCACATTTTTAGTGGTCTGTTACTAACTAAATACACTACCCAATTTCTCTAACAGTATGATTTTGATATCCCAAATACATAGCTCACACTTTTAGCATTTACTAACGGCCATTGATTCTAACTTCTTACAGATTATATTGCTTTCTCCTCGCTTTTCTTTATTTCCATTGCTAAGAGATATTTCATTTTTCTTTCTGAACCTGCCAGCTGTCATCCGATATTTTTATTTTTTATTTTTGTTAAGATCACCGTCAGCCAATAATAAATCATAGTAGGGCTTCGACATCTCTTCGGAAAGTCTCGGTGGACTGGCTAAATATGCAAAACAATATATATACATATATATATATATATATATATATATATATAGATATAGATAGATAGATAGATAGATAGAGAGAGAGAGAGAGATGCAAAAATAAATAATAAATGTCAGTCCTTCATCAAAAGATTTTTTTAATAATTTTATTTTGACTACTTTCCTATCATTATTAAAAAGTTGTCAGTTTTAACCAGTTAAAGTTGTTCAAGATGAAAGAATTATGCAAAGAAAACAGTGTAGAATTTCTTTTTTCGAAAACATTGATCCAGTTTACTCAATATATCATACTTATTATAAAACCCAGGTTGTTTGTGTGGGTGAACATAATTGTTTTTGCACGAAATCAATTTGAAAACACGATTAAGAGGCATCGCTGTTTCGAGAATGAAAGGAGGACAACTAATATCGTGTTATACTTATTATAAAACCCAGGTTGTTTGTGTGTGTGTTCGTTTATATATGGGATCGGATTTCCTACATTTTTCAACCGATTTCAACAAAAATTCACTTTTTTTTTTGTTTTCAGGTAGTGTTTTTATTTTCTTATGCACTTTTTTTTTTATTTTTACATTCAGCATGCTTTAAAAATCCCATTTACAATTGTTTATAATAAAATTCTATTCAATCGGTAGACTCATAACGATTGAAAACAATGTTTTTGTTTGAGTTTGGGTTTGACCAATTCGTAAAAAACAAAAACAAAACAAAAAACTAATTAAGACATGCGTGTCTGTCAACCTTAAACAATAATCTTTGTCAATTTTATTTTTCAGTCTTTATGATGGTTGATACTTGATCTATCTCTTACTGTTACATCCTCGGGAAACGCCGGGCTTTACCGATAGTTTATTAATAATTAGAATTATTTCTTCTCTATATATGAATTTTCATACAGTTTTAGAAAGAATTTCATCTCAGCACGGTTTCGAATATTGCGACTGTATCCCCCACGCAGAAGTATAAGGCCCTTGAAAATTGGTCACATTCCGGACAGACACAGGTATAAGCAGTGTTTTTTTTTGTTTTTTGTTTTGTTTTTTTTCCCTTTAGACTGAAGTATAAAGCAAAACAGTATTAAGTATTTACATTTTGACTCAAATATAAAACG